CCCCCCCCCCCCCCCCCCCCCCCCCCTTCCTTCTCCCCTTGCCCACCCGGCCCAGGGGTCCACTTGGACCTTGATACGCTTATGAATACCAGCAAGCGAATACAAGAGGATGACGCAACGATCACAACAACTATGGAAAGGTTGCAACTTAGACGATGGGGCGATAGTGCGAAAGTTGACTAAATTATGCCCGAAAAAGCAAACTGACTTGAGTGTTGAGCGACACAAGAAATAGCCAAATATCTTAAGTGCCGGGATACGAATCAATTCGTTGACCGAATTGATGAGTTTGAATACCACGACAAGACCTCTTTTTCGATCGAAAGCTGGTACCATTGTTGCTGGTCTTTCGGCCAGAAGTCGTGTTGTAAGTGCTAGCACGTCATAGAGGTTATCGTCCTGTAAAAGGGACCACTTCCAAAGCTTGCTTTTGCAATTTCCTCATTAAAACACAGCCGCAGTGCTCCCTCAAACCATTCACATCTTTCTGAGGTCCGTGAAGAAAACGGCTAAAAATGCGGTTATGATAATGCTGCTCACGTTTCGACTTTTTTGCTCTGGTTTACTGAAACACAAATAGCAAAGGATTGCAAATTCTAAAGGTCGCAAAATTTAAGAAAAGTAGGCTTGCTAGACGCCCAAGGGAACTGCTGTCATCAAAAAAGTCAGATTTTAAGTTCATGACAAAATCCTAATTTTACAACAAATGCTGAAGCGGCCGAGTGGTCAATTCCAAGAAATGCGTTGATATAACCGGTGCTTACTTCATGTACGGTGGCAATGAAATTGAGCAGGGCATTGAACTCGCTGTCGCGATTCAGTTCGCTCTCCTTCGAATCCACCATACAAATCATTCGCGAAACAAACGTTAGCAGATGTGCTCGGATTGTTACAATGTCACTCCTTAACAGCTTCTTAGAAAACAGCAGTAATAATGACACAGAAGTCTATACGCGCCATACACATTTCAAACAATTAGCCAGTGTGAAGTTGCGTTTTTTGTATAATTCCTCGCAGGTTTTTGTTACTAACGATACTGTCTTTCCCGGAAGATATTTCTGGCTAAAAGAACTGAAACTGGCCACCACGGATGTGAGAAGACAATTCCTTAAAATTCCAGTTTTCTAGCTTTTCAGGCTTCTCAGTTAGCAACTCACCCGCGAAAAACATTCACGAGCCCGTACACAGGAACTACGTGGACAAGAGCGTCCATTTTAGGAATAAGGGTCCATAAATACGTGTAGATTAAGTCGCCAAAATTCCAGCCTAGTAGATTTCTTGGGTCTCGAGATGAAAAGTCGATACAGATGCACATACAAATATACACAGAAACTCCTCGACAATATGCGTTTTTGCACTCGTAGGTGAAGAAACGAATAATAGGCCAACACACAGACTGCCCGTGAGAAGATGCGTTTTTTGCATAGTTCCCCGCAGCTTTTGTTGCTACTGGCACTGGCTTTTTCAGCAAATGCTTCTAGCTAAACAAATTAAGACTGGCTGCCAAAACTGTCAGAAAACACCCCTCAAAATTTTGGCTTTCTAGCTTCCCTGGCTCCTGATTTAGCAACTTATTGGAAAAAAATTTCCCGGGCCCGTGCGTTTTTACCACGCATATTCGAGAGTTGGGTTTGGGCTGAATGGAACTTAGGTGGACGGAGTGTATCCTCTTAAAATTAAAGTCCTTTAGCTTCTCGGATACTCAAGTTACCAACTTACCCGAAAAAATTTTAGCTGGCTCGTATGCGGGTACCACGCCTACTCGGGGGCTGGGTTTGAGCTCACTAATACCCACTTGAACGGGGAACATCCCCTAAGACTTCTCAGATCCCCGAGTTATGGACTTACCCGAAAAAAACTTTGGCGAGCTCGTATGCGGGTAATGGCGCCCATTTTGGGGATTGGGGCCCGTACGTGCATGTAAATCAAGTTCCCAAAGTTTCAGTCCTGTAGCTTTTGTAGGTCTTGAGATGAAAAACCGTGACAGACGCACAGACGGACACACACACACACGGACATACACACACGGACACACACACAGACACAGACACACACACATACACACACACACAGAAAACCCCTCATCAATATGCGTTTTCTGCATTGCATAGCTGCAAAAAACGCATAATAAAAATAGAAAGGCATATGCAACACACTTACCGTGATGGCCTTTGTTCACTTTCGACTACATTGTAGATTGATGGCGAGCATGGCACAACAACCCAGTAGTACATTTTGACGGCGTGAAGAACTTCAACGACAGTGGCGCAACGTTGCAAAGGAAGCATCAAATTCGCGCTCGACAAAAAATCACTCGCCAAATAATAATACAATTTAATTTGTATCTATAAAAAAAAAATAGGGACATAAGCGTATTTTATGTTTTGGAGTAAACATACAAATGCACTGGAGTAATGAAATGAAATGAAACATGCTAGGATCTAATTAAGTGAAACTGTTGATGAGGGAATGACCAAAAATTGTATGTGTGGGATACTGAATCGGAGGGATGAAAAATAGGTTATGCAGCTAAATTATGGAGATTGAGGAGAATGAAGGCGATGATTAATCCGTAATTGTAAGTCAGAGAAAAAGTAGCCTATTCATCTCTGTACTGGAATTTTTTGGCCAAATATGAAAAAAGCTAGGAATCTCGCCGAGAAAACGTGAAAATTAGCCAGAAGAATGCAAAATCATATCAAGAAACAGAAAATTAAAGAGAAAAATGAAAGCAAGGACAGACGTTTTGAGTCAAGAACATCAAAATTAAGGAATACATCTCCTTTGTTGGGGACGACGTGCGGCACTCTGTACGATTGTAAAACTTACAGAAGCTTCAGCTTTACTCCAGAGCTCCGGATTGAAGAGGATGTAGTCGAAAAGATGCTTCAACAACGGTGTACCAGTACGGGATTGCAACAGATATTTCGAAATGCCTATCAAATTTTCCAAGACGCGTGCATTCAGATTTGACGGCGATGCCTGAAAATGTACATAACCGCAT